TGTGCGTGACGTCATTCCCCGGGGCCGAATTGTGCTGTTGCGGGCTCGAAATGGAGCTTCGGCAGGACGGCACGCAACCGACCGGCGAGTTGCGAATGCGCCCGCCCATTCGAACTCGAGTAAAATAAAGAACATAGGGGTCGAGCTCACCAATCAATTTACATTTCTCATCGGACAGCACCGGACCGAGAGCACATTTCGGTGCAGGATTTCACCGGAGAATCCATGGCGGAGTAGGTATGCAACAAAGGCCAGCGTTGATACATTCGGAGACAAGTGAACATTTACGTACACATAGATACCAAATGAAGCTGGTTGGATTGTATTGTGCTTGTGATAAGGTGTGACGAAAGTGAAATGACCTCATTCGAAGCGAATTTTTCAATCGCGCTTTCCTACCTGCTTCTCTGTATTCTATATTGTTTGGGCACACGCGGGCAGCTCCGGTGTACTTGCGTGTCTGGCAGAGTGAGCATTGGTCACTGGCTCATTACCAGGTGATTATAGGCGAATATCTAGTAGAGAAACATTAAGACTTTGGTACATTTCGTGTTTTATTTACCAGTTAATTTTTTTTATTGAGAAGGTCCGAGTGCCGCCTGTGGCGCGTGCCTACGTCGTTACACCCTACAGCAGATTGGCGTACAACTCAATGATTAACGTTATCGACTGTACACTAAATCTTAAGACACCGCAGTATTCATTGTTGTAGTTGCTGCATTCTTCACCTGCACATAACCGAACGGAATCTAGTTCCGCATAATTCGTGTATAGAACAGCCAAAGTTATAACACGTAAAAGGTGAATTGACAAGATACAACGCAAGAAACAAGACCGAGACCAACCGAAGGCCACTAACCCCGGTATCAGAAAAGTTAGCCAACCAGTCCATAATTGATATTCTAAATATGGACATTGAAGTACACTTTATTGAGTTATGCTGTGCATCTGTGTGATACACTAAATCTATGTTTAAAATTTAAATATGTATAATCAAGAATAAATTTTCAGTTTTGTGTTTACTATATTTCTTTTAGTTTTTAAAGCAGTGGGCGGATACGCAACAGTCGTTTTGATAGCAACTAATAGCGCGTCCCTTCTATAGCTGTTATGTGGTTACGCATACTAGCCGAGAGAGCTAGATGACAACTCCTGCCATTCTAGGCTAATATACAAAATGAACAGATTAGCTATGTGTTGCGAACAGCAATTACTATAAGTTTACTTCTGCTGTATCATTTGTAGCCGTATTGTTGCATCAACGAAAAGCTATAAAGTCAGTGCGCATAGCTCTCGGAATAAGATCAAGGTTAAGCATCCCCGGGCGGACGGGCAGCCCTATACTATAGACCTGCGGAATACACTTCTCCGTCCGACATAGGTACACACGTGTACGTTTTTATATTTACTGGTGACGGTATATGGGACAGAACGGGGTCCTCATTGCAATATCTTATCGTGAGACTCGCCATGCAAGATTGCTAGATACAGATAATTAACGCCAGCAACCCAAGAGGATGGTCCCATATATACAAAGAATGAATGAGGTTTAGAGTTTGAACATAATGATTGTATCTAGGGCAAAAGCTGCAGACTGCGATGCGGCGCCGTACACCGCTATTCGGGCGGTGAAAAACCAACCAGTCTCCCTTCTAGATGGCTTGAGCCACAAAATGTAGAAAACTGATATGTGTATACATTCCATTACAATTCGTTATTATACTCTTAAGTCTCAAGATGAATTGTAATTTACAAAGGACCCGCCAAGTCGTATCCAAATTTCCTAATCATTTGCCATTTATAAAACAAATGCCAATCATGACCAATCACAGCGAAGTCTTGACGAAAGGCCTGGTTCTCGCTTGTACTGTGGCGGCTGCAGGAGGGGCTGGATAGACCTCCAGTTTCCGCTGATTGGTCTGATTGTTCTGTAAATCTGGTGAATGATCTATAGGAAAAGGGCTGCAAGGAAGTCGGTATTTGCTGCAAAACAATCTTTTAAGAAGTGAATAACGATTCGAACTGAGAATGTATACACAATGCAGTACATAGGTAAAGCCATGTAGAAGGGAACGGTAGGGTTTTTTTCAGCGCCACATATCGCCGTCACGGCGCGCATCGCGAGCGCATGGCCTATGTTGCATGCGGATCTCACGGAAATTTCAATGAACCCCGTTCTCGTAACCTCACCAAAACATAAAAGGTTATGATGGGTACAGAATCTATTCGGTCTAAAACCCCTATACTATAGCCGGAAGTCCGATAGCACCGACCATAATGCAAAGGGTTAGGTTAAGACGTTAGGGTTATGGCATATATATGGTTTATAAAGGGCATCATTGGTTATAGTGCACAATATGATTATAGTGGCATCTGGTGGATGTGTCGGCATATTCACGTCGAATACGCATCAGCATGTAAGTGGTATGTTCCGGAGCGTAGCCTGGAGGCTTAGGCGACCGTCGGAACGTGTAACCACTGCTGTATTGGAATACAACCTATCAGTCCTATGCGGGGCCTTCGGTCTAATCGGACCTTCGGTCTCCCACGCGAAAAACTACACGGGAGCGGCGAGCGATTTCGCTCCGTCAGCTTCAAAGCGCTCTGGTAACAACAATTATCGCAGAGCGATAAAATTTTGGAAGATACTGAGAAAAATCGCTCCCGTGCCGCCCGGCAGCGTTAGAAATTAGGTCCCGACCCCCGGAGGCCCGAGCCCAACCATCAGTTCTTGGGCAATAACAATAAGTTTATACGGCAGGGTTAATTATATCGTGGGGAAGAGGCACGAAAGAAAAGAATAAAAAACAGACACAGCAATAACCATAAGCTGGTAACTGAAAAACGCTCACGATTGTAGATACGCTGAACTATTTTTATTCATAAGTAGAAAAAAAGAAGCAATGTAAACTGTATATTACTTAAAGAAGAGTCTAGGCACTTGTGAACTGTTGGCGGATTTGCGGCAGCATTGATCCATGCATGGGGGTACCGGTGGACTGGGAGGAAAAAAACGAAAGTAGAACCTTACCCAGAACTCCTAATGGCAATTCACTAAGAGATTCCAGTACAAAGTCCTTGTTTAACATACTCAAGAGTAACTAAAAACGTCTCTCTGAAGCTTCGACTTGCTCAGTCGATGTAAACAATAAAGTTGAAGATGAAAAATATAAAGTAAAAAAAAAGTAACTGAAAATAAACCATCCATCATTACCATGATTATAATTTTGGATTTCCTGCCTTTGTCAATGTTACCTGACTAATGTGTACTGTGTGATGATAATTGAGATAAGAATGTGATTGGCTTTCTTAGTCGACGTGAAATGAGATGAAAAAAATGTTGATGCGATATGTAATTGTTGACGATTTCTTAACACTGATAGTCTGATACTGGTGCTGACTGCGCTGAATGCTATTGACACTGATATTAATTAGCGAGTCAGTGCACGTGCAATTCAAATGATAAATTTGAACAAATCGATGCTATGGAAAACAGTAGCTCTTGGCGCAATGCTAAAATCAACTCCCTAAAAAAATTACGCGGAGAGCTCTTTTTTTTTTCATACAAAATCAAAAAAGAGCTCTCGTAAAAAAAAAGTAATTTTTAGGCTGCTTCGGTCTATAGGACTGTAACCCGAACTTGTAATTCAATATTCATAATTATATTCATATGATATTGTACTATTGATTGGTTGAATTTAGAGTATTATTAAATCACACATTGCAAACAAATGATAAGTAAATAAATATAAGATGTAAAAGTTCAGATAGATAATTACCAATGCCAATGAATTCAAAAAAGCATTTCTGACACACTGTCTCAGTGTCTGTCACTGATTTCACTTATTACTTACGCTGAAGGGGTCGTTGTCGTATCAGGTACTACAGATATGTACCCGAGGTACATATATGTATACACAAAGTGTACCCTAACCCTAACCCTAAGTTCTAACCCTAGCCCTAACCTTAACCCTAACCCTAACCCTAAACATACCTCATATAAAAATATAAACATAATACTAAACAACCTAAAACTACCTCGGGTACATATCTGTAGTACCTGATACGACAACGACCCCATCTGCGTTACTCACGGTTACGGAGTCCGGGATGGTTTTTGAACATATCATTAGACGTTACACTGTGTAAATTGTATTATTGGTAAAAGGTAATAACACATGGTTAACAACCCACTTCCAATCTATACTGTCAGCTTCACTGTGAATGTGTCAGGTGATACTTAAACATACACTAATGCTACTACAATAAGAAGCAGTCGCTATAAAATAGCAAATGAACAGGATACTTGTGCCTGCATTTTTTTAGGTTTACGAAAATGAAATATGAAAACGCTCTTAAAAATTAAGTGCCCGTGTTTACTTGACATAAATTGTTCTAGAACGGTACCTAATCTTGTCATGTACACAATACATAATGTTGAGATAGGGTACTCGGCAATGGCTCGGGCAAAACCCGGCGCTACGCTAGTGATGTTGACATGTATAAACAAATCTAAATTGAAATAAAGATCGGTGGTATATATATTGGTGAAAATGATGTGCGAGTGTTCTATGGCATGTCAGCATTACTATAGATGGTTGGTGTTACATGAAGAGTTGCAGAACAGTCAAGAAAACATAAAATCCTTGCTTTAAGACTATCATTTGCTATTGTACTGCTAATGTTTAGAGGTAAGGAGTAGTAAGCCTCCGTTGAAGTATCAAACTGCTGAAGACTTTATAAGTGAAGTTTGCTACATAAACTAGGATAAAAAAGGCAGTACAGGTGAATGGTTCGTTTCCATTGCCCCCCCCCCCACTCTTGGTTTAAAAATTGACATCTCGTCAGCCCTAGTTTGGAGCCATGGATTTTGGACGTTATCGTAAACCCTCACGACATCTATTTAGTCCTGGCTCAGTTTCCGGATTCTCGACATCTTCGTTATTGACTGGGGCTGCATCAAGGCCAGAATGAGAGGCAGTGAATACGGTCGGCCCCTTGCCATCATAAAGCGGTTCGTGGTAAGTGGCAAACAATTCTACACTGGGTCCATACTCCATAGCCTCGCACCAGAAGACCAGATGACTAGGTAGACCATCCTTCATAGCTCACTGGCCCCATCTTGTTATGTAGTAGGCAGCTCTCTTTTCTCAGGCTCCTTGGCATGGCTTCTCTGTAGGTGCTCAGCCTTACAACAAACTCATACTTGGTAGCCAGCAGATAACATGGGTCAGCAAGGCCAGTGGCGAGCAACCCCACTGGGTCGCCGGCCTGACTGTCACTCGTACTATCCTCACTACACTCCCGGCTGGACTATCTATCCTAGTCTCAATGGGTTGGATACAGAGAGTACAGCTTCACATCATGTGGTTCTGTATCGTGCAACCCTGCTTCCTGGCCTGACTCTAACTAGTAGCTTCTTCATTATCTTTGCCTGTTCGGCTACTGTACAGCCTAGCCTTATCTGGTTCCGCAGCGGGCAACCCCCCTTTCTGTTCTGACTCTATCTTGGATTCTAGTACTGTTTCGATTTCATCCGCCTGCCGGCCAGCGGTTAGCTCGTATGTGTGGCTTCTTTCTTAGTTGCGCCAGTCAACGTTTTTCTCGCCGAACCTTTGAGGCAAGGGAGCATTTGCTCGCTCCTGCAGGATCCGGTTGCCCTGCCACAGTACGTTAGCCACTCCATTATCATCCTCCGTCGGTCTGGGCGCGCGATTCATTCCACTCGTCTTCCCACTTCTCACCTGCCTCGGCAGCTGCCAGCAGATTCCAATTCTTGTCATCCTGATCCTAGCCGTCGGGTGGGTTCTCCCCCTCGTACTGCTTTACGTCGTTATTAGATACGATCTTAATCTGCATTTGCGGTCGTTGTTGGATTCAGCGAAGCTTGCCCCTGGCATGCAGAGTGAAAAACAACCCTCTCCATAAACTTCTCAACTTCTTGTCTCCTCGCAAATAGAAGTACTATGGCTACGCACCCACCTACACAGCAGACTGCTTTATTTCCCGGTTATAACTCGTCTTTCCCCACTCCGTCGCTTGATTTAAGTGTGTGTGTGCCCTCATGTGCTCCTTGCATAGTGGAGCACACACACAGTCTCATCATATTCATTGAGACACTATATCTTCTCGTTGACAGGCGGTAGCTGGTTTAATTAAACCCACCCACATCATCACCTTTTGGCCGAACATCAGCAAGTTCAGGTTGGCTCTGGTACTCTCTTGCGCTTGCCTTGTAGGGGAGGTGATCAACCCAATTATTCATGTAGTACGATTGGATAACATAGTCAGGCTAGCAGCAAAGATGAACTCACCGGTCGACTGTAAATAAGCCAGCAGCGGGACATCGGTTAGCAGCTTCCATAGCTTGCCAAGGGCATCTTTGCACTCGGTCTTCCATGTAAAGACGTGAACCTTCTTTGTGAGATCGGTGCTCAGCTATGGCATAGTGGCAGAATCCAGTATGAGCTATTGCTAGTGTAGTTGCTGAAGCCAGGGAAACTTGGCTTTTTTCGCACATTTGAGTTTGTGAATGGGTAGGTGGGAACTTTATCAACAGCACTCTCATTTATAAGAAATGATCAGGTGGATCGATAAGCATATCGAAATAAATGTACACACTGTGTGGTTATAGTATTATACAGCAATGTCATATATTGTTTTAGACTTGCAAGTTGCACTGGCATCAACAACATAAAATGAAACGGTGATTCTACTGTCTCTTTTATTGCAGGCTGAACATTGATGGACTGCTTGTGTGGTTTCCATATGACTACATATATCCAGAGCAGTACTCTTACATGGTAGAGCTCAAGAGGACACTTGATGCCAAGGTTAAATGTTACAGATACACTAAGAGTAAACCCGAAGCACTATTACTCAACACATCAATTTTGTGTTTAAAATGTCAGATTATTGTTTTACATGATTAACTATTGAAAGTTATAGTTGTTTTCATAATTATGAAATATTAGTGCTACGAAAGTATAATATACTATTCATATACTATTCATATAGTATCATAAATATTATACTAAAAAAATGTGTTTCTCATCCCTAGGGTCATGGAGTGCTTGAAATGCCTTCTGGCACAGGAAAGACAATTTCCCTGTTGGCACTGATTGTTGCATACATAAAACAAAAGCCGGGTGAATTAACCAAGCTTATCTACTGTTCGAGGACTGTACCGGAAATTGAGAAGGTAAACGCGGGCACTTCTTCTATTAATGGGGTGATACTCCATTAGGAGTGTTCCCAACTTTAATGGTCATAATAACATATATATATATATGGTCATGGTCATATATTAGTTTGTGGTTTAATGTCATTTAGGTTAGGTTTAGGGTTAGGGTTAGGATTATCAATCATTAATCATTAATCATTAATGATATCAAAGTTGGGAACACTCCTAATGGAGCGTTAGCCTATTAAAGGGGCATATAGTCCCTCCGGTACATATACTGTTTAAATGGCAATCATTTCTAGTCGTGAGCTGCGTAAAGCCAGACATAATTTATATTCATATAAATTATATGTCATGTATTATATTACTAGCAATATTATATAATCTGCAAGCTAAAGTGAGATAAAATTAAGAGCTGAACAGGGCTGCGGAATTTTAATAATTGTTTATGGTATGAATTTTTTTGGCATTTTAAAATTTTTCTTCATTGAATTTAATCAAGCTTGTTTAATCAAGCAATGTTTTTCCTTACACAAACACACTCAACACCACGCAGCTTTGTAAAGTCTACATAATTTGTTTTTGCATATCAAGTGTGTTGAAGAGTTGCGACGGTTGTTGAAATATTATGAGAAGGAGAACTCTGAGAAGCAGCCATTTCTAGCTTTGGCTTTGACTTCCAGAAAGAATCTCTGCATTCATCCTGAGGTATCGTGGTCTATAATTTGCTTTTCTTTTACAGTAACCTTGAGCTATGAAAAATAAAGATATAATGGTTGTGCAAGTATAGCAGAAACCAGTACTATTGTATCGACAGACATATGTAAGCAATCGATGTTTAAACGGGTGAAAAAAAATCTGGCTAGTATTTTATAGTGTAAGCAATTTACCTGATCTGCAGGTGAGTCAGGATAGAAATGGCAAAGTAGTGGATGGAAAATGCCACAGCCTCACAGCTTCCTATATCAGAGAACGACACAAGCATGAAGAATCTGTACCAGTGTGCCGTTTCTATGAGGTATATGCTATATGTATTAAAGATACTATTAGTAAGTTATGTAAGGTTTCTCGCTGTGAAAGCTATTGGTATCTTGTTACCAATATGACCATGAGTTTATAATACATATAGTCAAGAGCGTATAAAGAAGGAGAGCGTACAACGGTGAAATGCTGAAACCATGTTGCAGTATTAGTCGAATTAAGAAACTTTGCCCGTTTTATTTTGACGATTCTTTGCGGTTTTATTTATCAGCTGTCCTACCTTGCTAATATAAAACAAACCGCTTGTCCCTACGATGCCCCTATACGCTGAGATAATGAGCGGTGAAAATCTGGTATTTTTGCCTAAAACCGACTCGAGATCCCTGTTTGCTGCGACCCTCTCTCGCTTTGTGGCCAGTGTGTTGCTTCCGGTCGCCGCTGTGTAGCGCCATGGTAGCGCTGACTCATTATGTCAGTACTAAAGAGTTTACTACATCCAGCGTGAGGTGGGCACAGGTGGGGGTCATCACTATGGCTATCAATAACAGACGTCATTCATTCAGCGCGCGCGCCCCGTTTGCGCAACGTAGGGAGAACCCTGTCTATGGAAGGCTATTGGGCCCTAAAATAACATCAGAATATACAAATTTTTAGGGCACAATTTATTGGTCTATAGTCGTGTGTGCGTGACGTCATTCCCGCGCGCATTGTGCTTGGCTTGGCGGGCTTCGAAATGGAGCTCGGAGGCCGGCAGCAACTCATCCCGGCATGCAATGCGCCGCCATTACTCGTGTATAAATAGACATGTCGTCCTCTTTACATTTTCACGGAGAGCACATTTCGTGCAGGATTTCACGAGATATCTCTGGCGGGAGTAGGTATGAACAAAGGCCAGCGTTATAATTCGAACAAGTGAACATTTCTGTACACATAGATACCAAGATGGAAGCTGTTGGATGTGTATTTGTGCTGTGAAGGTGTGAAATGAAGTGAGCATTGAGCGAATTTTTCAATCGCGCTTTCCTAGCTGCTCTCTTATTCATATTGTTTGTGCACAGCGCGGGCGTCCGGTGTACTTGCGTGTTGCAGATGAGCATTTCACTGGCATTTACAGGTGATTATAGGCGAAATCTAGTAGAGAAACATTAAGACTTTGGTACATTTCGTGTTTATTTACCATTAATTTTTTTTATTGAGACGGTCCGAGTGCCTGTGCGGCGTGCCTACGGCTACAGCCTCACTACAGCAGATTGGTAAACAATGATGAACTTATCACTGTACACTAAACTTACACCCAGTTTCTTGTTGTATTGCTGCTATTTCTTCATCCTGCAGCATTAACGACGATCTGTTACCCATAATTGTGTATTAGAACAGAATATTATACCGTAAAATAATCTACAAGGATAAAAACGCAAGGAAACAAGACCGAACCAACCGGAAAAGCCACTACCGTATCAGAAAATTAGCCAACAGTCATATGAATTTAAATATGGACATTATACTTTATTGATTATGTTGCATTTATACTTAAATCTATAGTTTAAAATTAAAATATTATAATCAAAATAAATTTTCAGTTTTTTACTATATTTCTTTTATTTTTAACAGGGGCGTACGCAACATGTTTTGATACAACTAATATGGCGCTCCCCTTCTATCAATTTGCTTGTTATGTGTTACCATATACCGAGGAGCTAGATGTACAACTCCTTGCCATCTAGGCTAACAAAATAACAGATTAGTCTATGGTGTTGCACAGCAATTACTATAAGGTTTACTTCTGCTGTATCATTTGTACGGTATTGTCATCAACGAAATATAAATCAGTGTGCATATGACTTGGAAAAGATGAAGTAAGCATTCCGTGTGGGGGCAGCCCTATACTATAGACCGAATAATTCTGTCCCATATAACCTTTTTTTATATTTTGGTGAGGGTTATATTGGGACAGAACGGGGTTCATTGAAATTTCGTGAGATCGCATGCAAAATGCTAGATACAATAATGTAACCCAAACCCAAGAGGATAGGTCCCCCTATCCTCTTGGGTTTGGGTTACATAATGATTGTATCTAGCAAAATGCATGCACTGCGAATGCGGCCCGTACGCCGCTATTGGCGTGAAAAAAGCCCTACCGTTCCCTTCTAGATGGCTTTACCTTGCTACTGATATGTGTATACATTCACTTCAATCGTTATTCACTTCTTAAAAGATTGTTTTTCAGAAAGACCGCTTCGTTCCACTTTCCTAAATCATTTGCCATTTACAAACAATCAGACCAATCACAGCGAGTCTTACAATAGCCTGGTTCTCGCTTGTATCTGTGGCGCTGCAGGAGGGCTGATAGACTCGCTCTGATTGGTCTGATTGTTTGTAAATGGTGAATGATTTAGGAAAGTGGAAGGAAGCGGTATTTCTGAAAAACAATCTTTTAAGAAGTGAATAACGATTGAAGTGAATGTATACACATATCAGTAGCAAGGTAAAGCCATGTAGAAGGGAACGGTAGGGTTTTTTTCAGCGCCACATATCGCCGTCACGGCGCGCATCGCGAGCGCATGGCCTATGTTGCATGCGGATCTCACGGAAATTTCAATGAACCCCGTTCTCGTAACCTCACCAAAACATAAAAGGTTATGATGGGTACAGAATCTATTCGGTCTAAAACCCCTATACTATAGCCGGAAGTCCGATAGCACCGACCATAATGCAAAGGGTTAGGTTAAGACGTTAGGGTTATGGCATATATATGGTTTATAAAGGGCATCATTGGTTATAGTGCACAATATGATTATAGTGGCATCTGGTGGATGTGTCGGCATATTCACGTCGAATACGCATCAGCATGTAAGTGGTATGTTCCGGAGCGTAGCCTGGAGGCTTAGGCGACCGTCGGAACGTGTAACCACTGCTGTATTGGAATACAACCTATCAGTCCTATGCGGGGCCTTCGGTCTAATCGGACCTTCGGTCTCCCACGCGAAAAACTACACGGGAGCGGCGAGCGATTTCGCTCCGTCAGCTTCAAAGCGCTCTGGTAACAACAATTATCGCAGAGCGATAAAATTTTGGAAGATACTGAGAAAAATCGCTCCCGTGCCGCCCGGCAGCGTTAGAAATTAGGTCCCGACCCCCGGAGGCCCGAGCCCAACCATCAGTTCTTGGGCAATAACAATAAGTTTATACGGCAGGGTTAATTATATCGTGGGGAAGAGGCACGAAAGAAAAGAATAAAAAACAGACACAGCAATAACCATAAGCTGGTAACTGAAAAACGCTCACGATTGTAGATACGCTGAACTATTTTTATTCATAAGTAGAAAAAAAGAAGCAATGTAAACTGTATATTACTTAAAGAAGAGTCTAGGCACTTGTGAACTGTTGGCGGATTTGCGGCAGCATTGATCCATGCATGGGGGTACCGGTGGACTGGGAGGAAAAAAACGAAAGTAGAACCTTACCCAGAACTCCTAATGGCAATTCACTAAGAGATTCCAGTACAAAGTCCTTGTTTAACATACTCAAGAGTAACTAAAAACGTCTCTCTGAAGCTTCGACTTGCTCAGTCGATGTAAACAATAAAGTTGAAGATGAAAAATATAAAGTAAAAAAAAAGTAACTGAAAATAAACCATCCATCATTACCATGATTATAATTTTGGATTTCCTGCCTTTGTCAATGTTACCTGACTAATGTGTACTGTGTGATGATAATTGAGATAAGAATGTGATTGGCTTTCTTAGTCGACGTGAAATGAGATGAAAAAAATGTTGATGCGATATGTAATTGTTGACGATTTCTTAACACTGATAGTCTGATACTGGTGCTGACTGCGCTGAATGCTATTGACACTGATATTAATTAGCGAGTCAGTGCACGTGCAATTCAAATGATAAATTTGAACAAATCGATGCTATGGAAAACAGTAGCTCTTGGCGCAATGCTAAAATCAACTCCCTAAAAAAATTACGCGGAGAGCTCTTTTTTTTTTCATCAACAAAATCAAAAAAGAGCTCATCGTAAAAAAAAGTAATTTTTTAGGCTGCTTCGGCTAAGGACTGTAAACCCGAACTTGTAAATCAAATACTGCCATACATTATATTCCATATGCATATCGTACTATTAGATTGTATGAACTTTGAAGAGTATTATTAAAGTCACCCATTGCAAACAAATGACAAGTAAATTATATAAAGACTGTAAAAGAGTTCAGCTAGATAATTACGCAATGCAATGAATCACAAAACATTTCTGACACAGCCTGCTCTCAGTGTCTGTCACTGATTTCACTGATCTTACTTCGCTGAAAGGGTGGCGTTTGTCGTTTCAGTACACAGATTACTGTACCCGCAGGTACATATATGTATTACACACAAGTGTACCCTCAACGCCTAAAGCCCTAAGTCTAACCCTAGCCCTGAACCTTAACCCTAACCCTACACCCTAAACATCACTCTCATATAAAAATAATAAACATAAGACTAAAACAACCTAAAACTACACTCGGGACATACGTAGTACGCTGATACGAACAACGACCCCATCTGCCGTTACTCACGGTTCACGGAGTCCCGGGATGGTTTTTTTGAAACATATCATTAGGAACGTACACTGTGCTAAATTGTGATTATGGTAAAAGGTAATAACGACATGAGTAAACACCCCTTCCAACTATACTGTCAGCTTCACTGGTGAAGTGTCAGGTTGATACTTAAACATACACATAAGTGCTACACATATAAGAAGCAGTCGCTAATAGAAATAGGCAAATGAACAGGATACTTGTGCCTGCATTTTTAAGGTTAGCGAAAATGAAATATGAAAACGCTCTTAAAAATTAAGTGCCCGCGTGTTTACTTGACATAAAGTTGTTCCTTAGAACGGTACCTAATGCTTGTCCATGTGAACACAATACACCTAATGTTGACATAGGGTAACTCGGCAATAGCGCTCGGGCAAAAGACCCGGCGCTCCGACGCTAGTGATGTTGAGCATGTAATAAACAAATCTACACAATTGAAATAAAGATGCGGT